AATTTTTTTGAGATTTCAGTTTACTATTTTCTTTTTAAAAAAAAATCTTTATTATTATATTTTTCTGTATCAATACTGTTAAACAAAAAAAATCTCAATATCAGTATGCACTGGTTTTTTAAGTTTTGAATAGATTTTTTTTTTTTTAGTTTGCACTTTATTTTTCACTTTTATCTTTACTTTTATTTTATACTTTTATTTTTATTTTCTATTTTTATGTTTACTTTTCCATTGTGGGCATCATCCAATATTGTCATTTTCGGTCATTTTATAAAATTAATTATTTTTATATATTTTATAAAATGGTTTAGTAAGGATAATTTTGTCAACTTAGGATTTAAATTTGTCAGATGGACCTATTTGTATCAAATTGAAACTTTAGAAGTGTTTTTTGTACTTGAGGAATGTGATATGCACTATAAACATACTTTAGGAGGTGTTAATTTTCTGCACTTGATCCATCAAAATTCTTGATAAATTAAAAAAAAAAAAATATATATATATATATATATATAAGGAAAAACACCAACACTTTTTTCCTAAGAAAATATTATTAAATTCAGAAAAAATAAAGTCAACCCAACCCAAGCCAACAATATATAAATATAAAGTCAATCAAGTAGAAATCTAAATCTAAATTAAAAAAGCAAGTCCACTTGTTGTAGCCCTTAATAAAAAAATTAGAATTGTTTTTGTCCTAGATATATATAGCAAAGACTAGTGATTCGACTCACCCGGAGTCAGAACAGCCGACTCAGCATGAAAATAATTCTCCCATGAAAAATGATTTGTATTTTGTAATTATGTTATAGGGCTTGTAATAATAAAGCTAAACGAAGCAATCACTAACCCCACGTGAAAGGAAGAAAGTTGGTAAAGATATATATATATATATATATCATAGTATAATACTATGATTAAGGCACTCAACTAAGGGATTTTAATTGTTCAACATTAGAAATCAAGTTGGACAAGAAAAAAAGTTTTTCTTAATACAATGATTTGGATACAATGATTAAGTCTATACGCTAACCTAGATTGATTATCTATTTTAGAATCATCATTATTATTTATTTTGTTAATAGAAAGTGATGGGAAGGGGGATAAATTAAATATTTTTTAATATTTGATATTATTGTTCAAAATTATCATAATCAAATTTACACATTGATACATTATTTAATAAACCCTTAGCATGACACATTGATACATTGTGTTTTGTAGCACAATTCAATTTTATGATCATTGTTATTAGTCAATTTAATTTTTAGGGATAATTTCACTGACACTCCCAGTAGTTTGGTCAAATATCAGTTTAAAATATCTTTCGAAAATAACTATCACTTAGGTCCATTTTTTATTTTCCGTTACAGCCTTCGTTAAAAACATGTGAAAAGACAACTTTGCCCCTATTTTTTTAATAACATTTATTTCAAAATATCAGATTAGTTAAAAGACAATTATACCCCGACAATTGGGTAGATGTAACTGTTGGCTGTGGTGGTGGTGGTGGTGGTGGTGGTGGTGGGTAGTGGTTCCAAAAGTTAAGGCTTTTTTGGTGGTGGGTGGTGTGTTGCAGAAAAGAGAGAAAGTGTATAGAGAGATTGGTGGTTGGTGGTCGGTGATGATGGGGTGATGGTGGTGGTGGTGCCGCCGACGAGTGTGGTCGCTCGGCGGTGGAGTAGCGGCAACGGCGAGCTTGGAGATGGAAAGCGAAGACGGCTGTGAGTATGTTGATGGCGGCGGTGAGATAGATCCGGTGGCGGCAGATCCAGTGGAGACGAGCTCTGCGAAGAGGGAGATGACTGGAACTTGGAGATCCGGCGAGACAGATCCGGGTCTTGGATTTATAGATCGGACCGAATCGGCGGAATTTGGGGATGGATGAGGAGCAGAATTGGAAGAAATCTAGGGCGAGGGTTGTGGATTTGAGGACTTCTGAGGATTCGGAGTGTTTGGAGGTAGTCGGAGAGGTCGAGGAAAGGGTTTGATGATGAGGATTGGAGGATCCTAGCGACCTTGTAGATGAGGTCGCGACAAGGGAGACATCGGTTTGGAAGGTGGGAGAGTCGACTTTGACGGCGAATAAGCGGCCGTTGTCGGATTCGACGACGACTCCGCCGCTGTATTTGGTGGTGGTGTTGTGCTTGTGTGTGTGTGTGTGTGTGTGTGTGTGTGTGTGTGTGTATGTCTGTGTGTGTATATAGGAGTATATATATGTCTGCCTGTATATATAGTATAATTTGTAAATTTACAAATTTTTTAGAGGCCATATTGTCTTTTAATACTGATATTACGTAAAAAAAAATAAATTAAAAAAATGAGGGTATACCAAAGTCAGGGTCAAACAAAAGTCAAAGGGTAAAAATGACTTTTTACATGTAAAAAGTGGTCTGACACATCCGTAAACTAACTTTTGGGGTGTGAGTGAAAAACGGAGTAAACATTTGTAATGTGAGTGATAGTTATTTTCGAAAGATATTTTAGACTGATATTTGGCCAAATTACTGAGGGTATCAGTGAAATTATTTCTAATTTTTATGAGTCATGACGTCATATGCCATTTTTATGACAGATTGCAATTGAGCGTAATATATATATATATATATATATATATATATATATATAAGTGTATATTACACTCGTGCGTAGAAAAGAGAATTTATCCCATTCAATTTGCCTGGAAAAAGTGGGGATGAGTCTGTCGAAAGTTGAGTCCTTTTTCATCCACTTTGCCGTAAAAGGTAAGTAGTATACAGTCCCCAAAGCTCATAAAACTTCTTTTCTTTTTTAAAAGCGATGCCCTTATATTATGATATAACTGTGATCTAACCCGCAACAATTTGTTTTTCCCATTCACTTCCCTCATTTCCTAGATTCTCTTCAATTGCACCTACTAATTTTTTCTTGAATCAATTTCATGCACATCTTGCCAAAGCTAGGAAATCTATTTTTCTTTTTCCCCGAAACTTAAAGCAACCGCACACACCTGCAACAAGTTCCTTATAGAGCTCACTCACAATTCTCTATCGAAGAAAAAGAAATCATACCATCAAAAAAGAGATCGGAGCAGTCAAAGGAAAGCTATTGCTCCACCAAATACATATGCAAAGAGTAACGTTATTAGTTAATAAAAAGAATGTCGTCATGTAATTTTGCTCACAATTGTTGAATTGAGAGAGGATTAAGAATATGAATTAAGAGTCTCAGAATTCAATTGCTTGGTAGATACTCTCTTAATCATCTTTTTGTTTTGCACAGGCTTGGTTAAGGGTTGTATAGCCTATGGCATTGAAGATCATGCTATGAAGTAGAATGTACGAGAGATAACATTCTTTTAATGTAACATCTCGTGATCTTAACACAAAATATTAGAGCCTGCTTGATTTGCCATTCAGATTATAGTTTTAAAAAATAAAAAATTATTTTTAAAGAATTATAAAAGACAATCCTCTTAAATTTTGTTCCGTTATTTCAAGAGACTATTTCTCATGAAGCTGTTATCAAATGACTATTTTCAAAAAATTGAACTAAGCAAATCCTCATAATCTGAAATTCACATGAATGTTTTCTCTTCTTCATTAATTTCCCTTTCATGGTTAAGCCATGATGGCAGTCTTAGAAACTGTTTGATTAAGTGGAAAGTTAGGCTGAAAAACATTAAACTTTGCCCCGTAATTTCAGAACATTTTGTCTTGTAATCATACGAGGCACAACTTTTCATTACTAATAAACAATGTAGAAAAAGATTGATTGAATTATATAGGCCTATGCTTAGCATTGAAACCACCAAAATAGTCTCACCATTTTAGCTAATTTCCCCCATGGCCCCTAGGGCCAATTCTATATTTTTATATAGTCCACTTTCTAACCAACCATCTCTCATTTTTTTTGTTTTTTAGAGGGATGTCCTTTATGTACTCCTCCGTGTACTCCTCCGCCACGTGCGGGAGAGCATGCAATGCTATAACATCTATACCGTTTAATTGTTACATGAAATTATTGCAAACTTGCATATCTATATATATATATCCTACTTATTGGATTATTAATTGTTGAACTTGTCATTCAATAGGTGGAAAGGTTGAAGCCATAAATCCTCGCATTCTGGAAGTATGAAAAATTTCCTTGCCCCAGCATATCGTTCATTATCATGTGTGTAATATACGCGTGCATTATATGAATGATTCGAATGTGTCCGTTACACTGTGCAACAAGTATAGGAAAATTTGTCTCCTGAATTAGAAAATAAAGAATTTAACTTTTTCAAAAAAATGTGAGTGTATGAATTACAAAAAGTTGATCGAGGATTTCTCACCTTCAATAAGGCCATATCTTAGTAGTATTTTCTCATTTTTCAAAAATAAAAGAAAAGAAGAAGAGTTCAAGTCCCTGTAGGGACATATGGGTATTCCTATAAAAAGATTAAAAATAAGAATAAAATAAAATAGAATGCATCTTTTCAAAAAAAAGATATTCAATGTGTCTGATGTATCGTGCAACGAGTCATCACAGCAGTTCGTGTCATGTGTGCGCAGACAAGTACAAGTCTTGTCTAGATAAAATAATGTGATATCTTCTCCTTCTCCTTCTCCTTTTCAAGGCCATAGCCAATGGTTCAAATCTAATATGCAGGTGTATGAGTTTTAATAATAATAATTAACAAAATAATATAGTGAGAATACCCTTATTACCAACTTTAAAAAGAAAAAAAAAAAAATTATAGTACAAAAAGATAAACGTAAAAGATCTAACTACCTCCATGTTACCTAAATTCACCTTTTAATGGAGCTTCAAATTCACATATGCATAGACACATTTAAACATGTATAATCATCAATCTCCTTCTTTCCAAGTAAAGGTGTATTAATTAGATATTTAGGACATATATTCTCAGTTTTAAACCCAAACAACCCTTTACTATCAATTGCAAGAAAAGCAAATTCTTTTCCTATCTATCAAACAAATTGCAAAACAAAACTTTCCAAGATCACCCCAAATTTACCCCAATTCCAAGCAATTTTATTCCCCTACTGAGGCGTTGTACCGTACGCGCCAACAACAGCGCGTATCTAAAATTCCACATAAGAGTATAAACATCTAAGTAAAATACATAATTCTATATATATATATATTTATATATAACTAACAATTACTATTTTTAACTAACGCCGTTTTCACGTTCTACGGTTATTTTATGTACACAAACCTAGAATACAGTTTCAGAACTCCGTTAGTGAAACGTTAAGCGGAGAAGCCGGAACTGACGGCGGAGACTTTAATTTGGTGAAATAATCCCTTATATCGAACCCACCGTCCGTTAACTCGGCCTCGTCTCTCGCCGGCAGAAACGGCGGCCGTAACACCTCCGTCAACAGGTCCCACTTTACCCCGCGAAAGAACTTGTGCTCTTTGATTTCACACGCGCCTCTGTTATACCCCAATCTTCTCGTGGGGTCCTTCTCTAACAGCCGTCCAATCAAGTCAATCAGGTCCGTCCGTTTGCCGATGAATTCGGGATTCTTGATCAGAATATTCCGAAACGTTTCCTTCCGATTCTTCCCCTTAAACGGCGTCGTACCGTACAGCATCTCGTACGTGAGTACCCCGAGGGCCCACCAATCGACGGCGAACTCGTGACCCTCTCCACGCACCACCTCCGGAGCAACGTACTCCTCCGTGCCGACGAACGAGTTGGATCGTTCCCCACTCGCGAAACTCGGTTTCCGGCGATTCACAGGCGAGACGCGCGCGCTCTTCGCCTTCTTCAGCCCCTTCTTATCCGGAATGGCAATCGGGAAGAACCGGGTGAAATTCCTGCGGTGTCTCCGGCGAACAACTGGGTTTTCCGGTTCAGGGTCGGAGAATGTGTTAACGGGTCTGTGAATGAGCGTTCGTGAGAGGTCGAAGTCGGTGAGGGTGACGTGACCCGACTGCTGGATGAGTATGTTCTCGGGTTTGAGGTCACGGTAGACGATGCCCATGGTATGGAGGTGTTCGAGAGCGCAGACGATCTCGGCCAGGTAGAATCGGATGACCGTCGGAGAGAAGACGCGGTCGGTCTGACGGTACCGGAGGACGTTGAGGTCACCGCCAGGGCAGTAGGGGACGGCCCAGCACAGGAAATCATGGGTCTCGAAGGATCCGATCAGTGTCGGAAGAAACGGGTGTGTCGGGTCGGACAAACGCGACAGAACGGAGAGTTCCCAGCGGGCACGGCGGTCAGCGTCGAGCTTGGTGTCGAGGGTGGATTTATCGACGACTTTGAGAGCAAACGGGCAGCGCGCAGGGGCAGAACGGTCATGGACGAGAAAAACCGTGCCCATTGCACCTTTACCCAGTACTTTGATGGCTCTTAGATTGTCCAGGTCAACCTCCGGCGAAGGTGTTGTCTCCATATCTCTTATTCTCTATCAAGAGAGAGAAAGAGAGAGAGAGAGAGAGAGAGAGAGAGGGGAGAGTATTTTTGGGTAGAGAGAGAAAGAGAGAAGGTGGTGTCGAGGATTGGCTTTTTTTTATTTTATACAGTTGAGCTACTGTTGTTCATTGTTGTTATCCGTGTAAAATGGTTGTGCTGAAGTGTATATAAAAGGATGAGGTTTTGTTAGTGTATATCTGTTAGTATTGTTGTTGGGTGTTTATATATATTATATATCTCATGAGTGGGGTATGATACCTGAAGTAGTGGGAGCCGTTAGATTACGAATGTGGTGATGGCCTCAAAACATCTAAGGGCTAGGATGACTCGGGTAATATACCCCAAAGTATTTAATATTTTATTAAAATTAGGACCCTATTTATAGCTGGACTTTCCTTCCCTTAATATAGAGAATTGGGAAGTTCTACGATTAAGACACTCTTATAGGATGAATTCGTGTTTTAATAATAATGAGTCACTTTAATATCATGTCAAAACGGTCTTATAATAACATTTTTCTGCTGATATCAGTTATAAAAATTTTCTACAATTTTTCAAGGTACCGCACCCCTAAATCTCCTAGCTTACTTCAAAAAATTCGTTAATCCACAAGATATAGTGTAGTATATGTTCTAATATCGGTTTCATTTATTATATCATGGAATCTTCAACTTTAAAGAGCATTTCTCTAATGTAAATAGAGGGTATCTATATATATATATATATATTTTTATATTTTCATTTTGTTTTGACAAAAAATTCAATCATCCATTTCTATTCCATGAGAAAATTGGGATCCTCAATCTCTCTAGTGTTGAGTGAACATACATTGGACGTACATGGTATATGCACTTGTTTGGGGGGATGTTTAGTCATTTTAGTTGACAAGTGACCTTGTGTTGGCACTCTATGGTTGGATACTGGGCATTGAAAACTCATTATCATTGCTGGAAATATAATAATAATAATAATAATAATAATTAATTAATTAAAAAAATTATTATTATTGAAAATTAGCTGCGGGTGTGGGTCGGCCCATGGATCCGTTTCTTTTTGAATTTGGGAACTTTAACCCAAGCGCGCGCAAGTGCCCACCTCTCAAAATTTTCCGTATATAATTATTAGTATTATTGAGATTTTAAAAAAGCACTTGTCCACTCTTTTATTTTTAATTTGCTATATGTAAATTATATAAAAATAATAATTCAATAAATTGGAAGAGAAAATCAATAAATTTAATTATTAGTATACTAGTGAGTTTAAACATTCATATGCTGAATAACGTGTAATCTGAATTGACATTACTTAACATTTGCATTTACTAACGATTAAGATTAATAAAAATTTGCATTATAGTCCTAAAATGATATCATCATAATGTGGTCTTATGGAATAATATAGACGTCATTCAGACGTAATTATTTAACCTAGTTGCTAAATAACATGTAATCTGAATTAACTTTAAATTTGCATCTACTAATAATTGAGAATGGACGGTCGCATTGTAACTTTTCTCATTGGTGCAACTTCTACTAAACAATTTATTTGTGGATGAAATTATAAAAAGATGAGATAAGGATAAAATTGTATTCTGAAATGATATTATCATAATGTTTCTCTTATTGTGAGAATGTGATCTAATAGAATAATATAAATGCCATTCAAATATAATTGTTCAATCTCAATTATTGAATATTGAATAATATATAAACTGCATTACAAGTAAACTGAATTGTCTTTACGTGAAATTAGCATCTATTAGCAATTGAGAATGAACTCATCGGTGCAAATGAATATACTAAAGTTTCCCTAAGTTTTGTATAGATTCTATAGAATGAAAAGAATATATATATATATATATATATATATATATATATATATATATATATTGGGAGTGCAAAGGGTTGTGAGTGGGTTAAGGTGTGTTTGGATGTTTATAAATAAAAAACAATGTTCGCACACGTGTAGGGATGTAAGGAGAGATGGGTTGTACGGTTATCACATGGGGCTCCCCATAATCCAAGGAAACTGTGGGCATCTGGGGATGAATTTAGGGTTTTTTTTGGAATGTTGTTAGCTTGTCATTCCCTAGTATTTCTATAAACAAAAACTGAGTTTTATATAACTTAAATCATATTTCAGTTTTAAAAATAGCATGTGTACTCCAATAGATATAGGAAAGTATATATTGACTTTGGGTTAGTTGAGAGTTAGTGATCTGCTAAAAATCTGAATATCTTTTATCAATCAAAAAGTTAGGTTGATTATCTAACGGAATAAAAATAAAAAATAAAAAATAAAAAAAAGTGAATTGAGTTTATGTTAGAGTTTAAATTGCATAAAATATATAAATACATATTTTATATAAACTCTAACATAAACTCAATTCACTTTTTTTATATATATAAATACATATTTTATGCAATTTAAACTCTAACATAAACTCAATTCACTTTTTTTATATATATAAATATATACACATGAAACTTCAAATAAACATGAAATAATAAAAAATGGGTTCAATTGGTATTTTCTTTCTTCTCATAGTGGACCAATAATAATTAACCACAAACATAGTGCATGTGAATCTGTTTTTAGCTCAAATGAGCTATCATTTTCACTCATAAATAAAGACAATGGCTTAGCAAATTCATGCACAGACTACGTAGTACCACCAGATAATTATGGCTCCTAATTAAAGCTTTTTAATTTGACATTATAAAGCCACCTATATTGGATTTTTGTTTCTTTTCTTCCAAAGTAAACCATTCATCTTTTGCCATTTGGCAAGCATAATAAGAAGATATGTAATATATATATATATATATATATATATATATATATAATTGAGTGACTTGTACAATTTTGAAGACCAAATGACTAATTAAAAATTAATAAACTTTGTGAATTTATGAAGATGATGATGTACGAAAATTAAAAAGGAATATTATTTGATTTTTGATTCAAAACACAAAAGTGATATATATCGCTGCTACGTGAGAGAGAAAGAGGGAATGATCAGTTTCTATTCCTGTAATCATTATTTTCTTTCTTTTAAAACTTTAATACCTGTTGATATTTTATTAGGTCACCTCATCATAAAAAGGAAATTCATTCTTATGCGGCCTAAGACAAACATTATCCTATATATATATATATATATATATATATATATATATATAATCGAAAATGATCTTTTACTTACTTATCAGCAAGAATTCATCCACATCATGGATAATCGTAGAATGTGATTGTTACATATATTTTTTTGATAAATAGCTTTTTTACATTAAAAAATCACTATATATAAGGTGAATTAATTTCTTATTCATAGATGAGGAAGAGATCAGTAATATATATATACACACACACACACACAAATAAATTAGTCATTTGTTTCATCTCATGGACCTGGGATGTATATTAAGAGCAAACTTGATATTTGATGTTGTATATATATATATGTGTGTGTGTGTGTGAAAATTGTTGCTTTGGTTGAATGTAATAAATTAGTTCATAATTTCATTAGTTTACAGACAAATTAAACATTCATTAATTAGTGGATTTGGTGATTTGCCTTCACGTTAGGTAGGGCTGGTGTATCAAACATTTACCTCTTAAAAGGTATAAAAAGGAATATAATGATGCTTGAGCTCATCACTGGAAATTTGCATCTATTCTTCTTCTTTGTAGCTTTTATGATCGGTATTCGATTCCTTTATGGGCGATCCAATCTTTCTCATTGCTTAAAGAGATAAAAGAAGCTCTATTAATTGAGCCAAGGACATCAAATTAATACAAATGATTTTTATCCATCTAGCGAGATTCTCCACCCATACTTGTTCTTCTTCTTTTGTGAAATTCTTCCTAACAATAGGCATAATGTTTATTCAATTCCTTTTCTTTTGGTACTAATAATATTTGTCTTTTTCATTGCTTTATCATTTATCAATAGTTATTTCTCTCAAGTTATACGGTCTCTAAGTAAGGCTGCATATATTTGCCCTGCATTAAATTTTTTTTTTTTGGGAAGTTGACATGTCCTTAGAACACTTGCTGTACATTTCCTTAGTCGCGATTCTGCTGTGCACCACTCCCAATAAGTGATATCAGAGCTTCCATTGCTCCCAACATGTTTAAGGATGATGATAAATGGATCAAGGCTTGTGTTTCCTCCCCCACTCTCCGTGTATTTTCTTTTTTCTTGTTGAAACTCGCTGAAAAAATAAAAATAAAAACAAAAATAAATATACTCACAAAACTTGTTTTGTCCCATGAAAATTTGCACTCTCAACCTTTTGCTCTCTTATTTTGGTTGGAGATCCACATACGTGGATAGCTTTAAAGGATGTGTTAACAGGTAAGCCCGAAAGCCATCCCATTCCTGTCGGGGGAGATGCCAGCCGTCTCTCGACCTTTTGCTCTCTTATTTTGGTTGGAGATCCACATACATGGATAGCCTTAAAGGATGTGTTAACAGGTAAGCCCGAAATCCGTCCCGTTCCTGTCGGGGGAGATGCTAGCCGTCTCTCGACCTTTTAGTACTTTGGAATATCATAAAGTACCATTAGACTTACAATCCTTGGTGATTCATCATTTTGTGTATCCTTCAATGGAGAATTGAAAGTGTCAAAGAATTTTGTAATTCTAATATTGAGATTAACAAATTTCGCAATACAAAACCCACTCAATGTAAGTTAATAATTATATGTTTAGTGAGTAAAATAGAAATAGAATGGGTAGATGATTTAAGTGTGAAGAAAATATTAGTTAGTGTTGTGAAAATTTCACATATTTATAGAAAACTATAAAATACAATAATTCATACACAATGATTAAAGAGAATGACCAGTTACACCAATGAATTATCTAAATAAAATACTTTCATTAAAATGTATAATACATCACTTGAACAACCTGGATATAATGATAAACAAGGATTTAACAATATAAAAATTCTGCATTAAAAATTAAAATAATAATAGAAATTATGAAATGATCGAAGATAATATTAAAATAGGTAAGAAAATGCTAACTTGATTGTTGAGGTATATGTAAATACATTGACCTAAAGCTGATAGTCCTCCTCTTCGTACGAGTATTGACAAAACTAGTCAGCTTCAAGATACAACATAATTAGCTAGCTCGCAGCGGCGTCTCCTCTATATGCACGACCACAGGAAGACTAGATCCAAATCTATACGGGTCTCGTTACCCATAAACTCAATATATAAAATAGTATATAATAGAATGTAGAATACTTCTATAAGAGTCTCGCTCATTCATATATCATCACTCATATATACTCATATATACAAATATTAGAAAGATAGAAAGAATATGATACGAGTATATATCTCTCTATATTTTAGACCAATACCTCTATCTCTCAAACTGGTGGATGCTTTATATATAGAAATAATATATAACCGCTAATGATATAATTTACTATTGAAATAATAACTCCCATAAAGATAATTTAATTACTATAATAATATTCAATATAATAAATAATTATATTAAATATTATTTACATTTTTATTAAAATATCTATAAAAACTTGAAAATGATTACATCAAAAGGGCAAAAAGGTCTAAGATCTTCTACAAAGGGAAAATCAATCAAAGAACTTCTTCAAAGGGCAAAACAGTCTTGAGTTCTACTACAAATGGAAGAATATTCCAAGAACTTCATCAAATGGCAAAACAATCCAACTTCTTCTACCAAGGGTAGATTAGTCCGAAGATCAACTTCAAAGGGTAAAGATATAATCTTCTCAAGTATGAGCTTCGATGCTAAGAATCACAAGTTAATTTCATCTATCATCATTTAGGTACATGCGTATACATTATATATGATCATATGCTTTTAGGTACATGATAAATCATAGACAAATATTGTGTAGGATCAGTTTTGCTGATAGTTCTAATACTTTCCATATTGATTTTAAGCATGTCCTTGAGTATCACGAAAAAGTTTTCTGAAAATTGCATCTATGCTATTTTTGTTAAGTTGTAAGTTGCCTTAGACACCATATATCAGTATGCATCAAGAAAAACTTTTTCTATACCCTTTTAGCACTTGTTCTGATGTTTTTAGTATGTGTTTATTAGTTCAAGTCAATCACATGTCAAAAAGGTCAAAAACAGAAAGTTGTTGCTGTTTGGATTGAACTTTAGTATGTTTCGATCGATTAAAACCATGCAATCTTTGATCGATAGAATTATCTAAGGACATCGATTGAACTTTGCACACTCTCTCAATCAAAGGCACTCCTAGTGTGATACTTGGATTGACGGAAACATTTTTAACTTAGAATTTAATTTTCAATTTGAGTTTACTTGATATTTTTATAAAATTATTATAGGTCAATTCAAGAATGTATTTCAGTAGAAAAGACACACACATATGTATCCTAGAATTGTCTTTTCGATTTTATTTTATTTAATTTACTTAGAAAACAAGTTCTCAACTTGGAGAACAAATTTGCATGAAGTCCAAGATATTGAGTGAGGAGCAAATATTGTTCTATATGAATATAAGGTCTGAAAATACAAACCATGTGCCATGTACAATACAGTCCTAGAGTCTTTAGATTACTGCATCATGCATTCTTGTTTTATTTATTTATTTTTTCACAAGTATTTTGTGTGAAAGTTCGACTTGTATGTATTATAAGAGAGTTCGTGTGAGAGATTATCTTGCAAGATTGAGGGTACCACATGAGATATATTATTTTGTGTTCTTACATCATTCATTCATATCTTTTTGCATTAGATATGGTTTTTATGATGTTATTATTGTGTTGATATTGTTGTTGCGGTAGGTGTTATACAACGCCAACATCAACATCAATACATATGTTGATTGTGAAACTCTAAATACCAAACCATCCAACAGTGTGAAGAAAAAAGTTGGGAAGAAACAAACACGTGGGTTGAAGTAAAACAATTGGTTCGAAACTAGGCGTAGAGTAGAACAACTGGGTTGGAACAGACGCGTGGGTTGGAGTACTGCAACTGAGTAGCTTGGAGCAGGTTAAAGAAAATTCAAGGTGAGGAAGCAGTGCATAATGCGAGTGATGTGAATCAATGGGATGATTTATCCATTAGATGGATTGATTGGAGGACAATTGAAGAGATCTTTTGAAGTGCGTTTTAGTAGAGCAATTGGGTTGAAACTGACCGTAGCGTAAAGCAATTGGGTTGAACCATACATTGAAGATTTCTTTTACTCTTGAACCGGTTCAGGAATTTGGGAACCGGTTCAAGATGGCCAGTCTTGAGTTTTTCTAATTTTGCTAATGTTGAACTAGCTTAGGATTTTGGGAACCAGTTCAAGATTTTAGGAACCAATTTAGGATGGATAAAACGTAAAATCTTCTTTAGAAACTTCCGAAACTCTCCCAAAGTGTTCTCATTACATCTAAAACTTCTTAAAGCATTGTTCTCATCATTTTGGAGTGTAGTATATTATGAACATTTTAACTTTTTCAAATACGCATCCGATCTTAAATCTTTAAAATTTTGAACTGAAAAATTACAACTCGATCGGACTTATTTTGACAACGAAATTAACCAAATATAAAATATATATCTCACAATCTCCCCATTTGGCAATTTCGTAACAAAACCCTAAAAACAATTCAGTAATCTACCAAAGTAGGAAAGTAAATTATAATGATTGTTAAAGTAATTAAACCACCGAAATTTTCTTGAACCTTATGAAGCTTCATCACATGTAGCAACCTGTAATCTGCATATTAAATCAAATACAGCTATTCGTGAAGCTTCATCAAGAAAATAAACACAAGCATAAAATAACAAATTTTAATGCCAGAATATTAACGCAATGTAAACACATGCAATGATCAATGGTTCTTCTCCCCCTCAATGCAAAAAGTTCTCCCCCTTAACTATCTCCCCTTTAATGATAAGACTCTAAACTCTCTCCCCTTTTTTGTCACAAATTAACGAAGGTTTAAAGAAAGAAAAATCCTAGAAGTAGGAAACAACCAACTATATAAATCTTGTAAATTGAAACCAATGAGAATGTAGACTCCACAAGACTATATGTGTCAATATAACTAAACAAGATCAATTCAACAAAGTTTCACAAACTTAATAAGTGTAGTAAAATCACCACCAAGTTCCAAAAACATATGTTCTGTCAATTATTCAGATTTCAGATAATATATTAATGATATCACATATCCTTATAAATCAAATAATCAACATGTGCAAAAGATTTTTTTTATTTCTCTCTTTGTGCTCCATTTTTCTTTTTGCACATTGGCGACTTTCACGCTTATGGGTAGCCAGCTCTTTCCCTCATTCCCATTTGTTTTGAATCAAGGTAACTTTCGGATAAATCCTAAAGGTAGCCTTTTCCATCTCACATTTTTCAAAACAACAAATATTTTTTATTCTTTTTCAAACACTTTTCATTCCAAACTGTTTTTCAATTTTCTTTTCTTTTCACTCTTTTGGTCTAAAACCCATAAATCAAATTTAAATTCTAAGACAATGATCAATCATATCAACATTTTCTTTGGCCAAAACAATAATATCTCAAGTAAATGTACTATCAATGATTTATTTACTATACAAAATAAGTAAGCAAAACCAATTTCATCAATTCATAACTATTGTATGTTTTCCATAAATAATCCATGTGTTATTAACTCCTTGTGTTCAACATACTCAATCAATATGGTTTGCTTAACTTCCCAAAAATATAATCTAGACATTCAAGATATACATGAAAATCATTTTTAGACTATGTCTTTGCAATGCATCTAATCAAGACAACAAACACCAATAGATTTCCTAAAATGAGAAAACTTAGGAACATTTAATGGTTTAGTGAGAATATCAACTAAATTCTGATCAGTATGCACTTTTTCCAAAGACACAACATTTTATTCAACAAGTTCCTTTAGAAAGTGATGTCGAATGTCAATGTACTTAGTCATAGAATGTAAAACTAGATTATTTGAAATATTAATTGTACTAGTATTATCACAAAAGATAGCAATAGTACCTTAATCAACTCTATAATCCAGAAGCATCTGTTTCATCCAAGACAATTGTGTACAACAAGTTCCAGCAGCAATGTATTCAGCCTCACAAGATGATAAAGATATGCAATTTTACTTTTTGTTGTACCATGAAACAAGGTTAGTATCAACATAGAAACAACCATCTGAAGCACTCTTTCCATCATCCTTGTTACCATCCCAATCAACATCAATATAGCCTACTCAGAAGAATAACACAATCCATTATTCAATGTACTATTGACATAACGAATAATGCGTTTGACTGCAAAAATGTGTTGTTCTCTAGGATTAGCTTGATACCTAGCATAAACACCTACACTAAATGAAATATCTGGCCTAGTTGCTGCCAAATATAACAAGCTACC